TGGATCTCCTGGAATATTCTTCAAATTGCAGGATTTCTGATGTTTGGGATAGCTGCCTATCTCTTAGCAGAAAGAAATGTAAGTTTTCACATCTGAATCCAAACATGACATTGTTCACATTTGGGAAAGATGTGGCCCATCAAAAGGACTTTGCGGGTTGTTTTGTTAACACCATATGCAATGTCAGCCAGCAACAGCCACTGGAAATGCTCATACAAAATCAAGCCACGTCAATGGATCTGTTATTGCCAGAGAAAGGAAATGCAGACTGGAACATACTATCACTGGATGAAAGGATGGTGCAAGCAGCTCTCCCTAACATCAGAAAGGCTTTGGAAGTAAGATTTGACATCTGGAATGACAGCCTGAGGAGTCATCACTGGGCCGAAGGGCAGACGCTCTAGGGAAATGAGTTTTGACCCAATATAAACTAGATAGTTGGACCAAGTGAGCTGTAAGATCACTTTCAACTCTAAAATGCTGTAATTTTGGGTATCTTTTCTGAAGCCACTTACCTATTTGCCTTGAATGTACAAATTCTCAAAGAAAAGTACTTCTTTCTAATAAATGGGAGAAAAATGGCTGATTCTTTGTAAAGGGCTTCTAGACTGCAGCTCTGTCACATCTTCTTTCACTAACAAGGTAAGATAATAGCCATTTATGTTTAAAATGAAAACCTACTAGGCATTATCAGGAGGATTTTTCATAGCTGAGTCGGGATGATCATCTGTCTGTCTGCCCATTCATCCATCCATCATGTCACTGAGTTGGCTGAGGCCAAACACTGGACCAATATACTGGGGTAGGAGTAGAATCCATGATTCTCAATTCATTGACAGAGGTAAAAAAAGAAATCATAAAAGAAAAAACTCCAAATAAACAAGTTGTATCTTTATTGGTTTGTTGTTGTTGTTGTTGTTGTTATGTGCCGTCGAGTCGGCCCCGACTCATAGCGACCCCTCCTTGGGTTTCCAAGGCAGTATCACTATGGAAGTAGGATTGCCCAACCTTCCTTCCGAGGAGTGGCTGGGGGGTTTGAACCGCCAGCCGTCTGGTTAGACATATAAATTAGACCTGTCACCCATGTATACACCTAAACAAATATTGCAAACCATATGTTAAATATGTTAAATAAAACCTGTTAGTTTTATTTCCCACCCTACTCTTCAAAGCTAGTCTGATTTCACAAACTTTAGGCTGTGAAGGGCCTTAAAACCAAAAACCAAACCTGCTGCCATTGAGTCAATTCTGACCCACAGTGACCCTGAAGGACAGAGTAGAAGTCGCCAGGGTTTCCAAAGCTGTAAATCTTTACAGAAGCAAACTGCTCCTTCTTTCTGAGAGGATATATGGAAATCCAGAAGGGTCAGCTGATGGCCCAAGCTGGCTCAGAGGCAGGGCTGAGAATGGAACTGAGGTCCTTGGATTCCTGAGTCAAATGACTGAAGAAAGTAATTTCTTCACTGCAGTGCCTTCTCCTAGAGTGAGAGCTCTGTTCATCCATCAATCAAGGTAATGGTATTTTTCAGTCACATATATGGGCCTCGCTTTGTGCTAAATGTGGGTGATGTTGTTAGATGCCATTGAGTCAATTTCAACTCATCGTGACCCCATGTGACAGAGTAGAACTTCCTCATAGGGTTTCCTAGGATGTACTCTTTACAGGAGCAGATCACCACATCTTTCTCCTGTAGAGCCATTGGGTGGGTTCAAACCTTCAATCTTTCAGTTAGCAGCCAAGCACTTAATCATTGTGTCATCTTTGTGCAAGGTCCCCTTGCTAAAGGTGGTAGGGCTGATTATGTGATTGTGAGACCCAGTACTCATCCTGAAGGTATTGAAGGACCAGCTGGGAAAAGATGTTTCCACTCAAAACTTGTGTGCCTTACACTAAACACACTATCTTCCAGATGCATGGACCATTTGAAAAATGTGGGCCCTAGATCCAATGAGAATCTATCCCCATTTAAGGCTGTTATCTAAAAGGAATAATCTTATCACTAAACCAAAACAACAACAACAACAACAAAAAAAAAAACTCACTGGCATAGAGTTGATTCCAACTCTTAGTGACCCCTCCTTGTTTTTCTGAGGTGGTAACTCTACAGAAGTAGATTACCCAGTCTTCCTTCTGTGGAGTGGCTGGTGGGTTTGAACCGCCAGCCTTCTGAATAGCAGTCAAATGCCTTAGGTACTATGTCACTAGTTAAACATATTTCATAAATTCAAGACCTGTAGAGAATTCAAAAGTCATATGGCAATTCAAAAATATTCCTTATGGTTGTGTTTGCTTTATTCTCTTTTTTCTTGCTTAACTTCTATTTTATATATGCTTTAAGAATACTTGTAATTCATATCTTCTTTCACACTCTGCTTTATGCTGGGTGGCCAATAGGACAAAGAATATGTGTCAAGAGACATGCCACCAGCTACGCTATGTGGGAGAAATCTAGCTGCTCTAAGCCCCAAAGATTCATCTTAAACAATGGATAAAACTATTTGTTCTGTCTACCTTACAAATTTGTTGTAAAGATCAAGCAAAACCAAGTCTGTGAAAGTATCCTGAAAAGTATAAAGCAACATACAAATGTAAAATATTAAACTCTTTGCCCTTTTCCCTTGTTCCTCTGAAGTCATATTGAGTATTTGGCTTGTGCCTGTTGGTGGAAAGCACTTAGAATGGTGAGTGAGGTCACGCTCCTAAAGCAAATTGGAACAAGTTGCTGCCAGCACTTTCTCTTTAAAAATAAGGATGTGGTCCTGTCCTTGGAGAAGGTAATAGAAAACGTTTGCTCTGTGGCATCGCCTCTCATTGGGTTCATTTTGCCAAAGTGCTGCCAATTCCAATTCAGCTCTTTTCAGGAGTAATAAGGGGCCCCCTGAGAATCCAGCTGAATTTAACCTTCCTGTTGTAGTCAGATGACCTGACATGGACTCCGTGCTCCATTTTCCTCACCTGTAATATTGTCCCCATCTTACAGGGTTGTTGTAAAGATTAAATGAGTTAACCGTGTAACCAAGTGCAGCACGAAATAAATGTTTTCCAGTGTTATATTTTAATTATTGAACATCTACTTAGGTCTGATGCTAGCCGCCTGGGATACCCAGAGGTCAAGACCCTACCCCTAAGCTTGGAGTAACTAAAGGTCTATCATTGTAAGCCAAAGTTAGAGGGGTGAGGAATTAACATTTTCCCCAGATACTTAGTTCCCCTAAGAAAGTCCCCTTAGCCGACTTCAGTGTCATTATGGGCTCCCCGTCTGAAGTTAGATTTCATCTAATCTCTCTCTACGCAAGAGATTTAAGCCTTAACTGTGGGGACTATGACATCTGCACACCCTATTGGTGAACCATCTAAAACACAGTTTCGATCTAATACGCGGGAAGCTGGGAACTTGTGGGAGTCCCAAGGTGATGGAGGAAAGGTTTGAGAAGCTCCAAGCTGCTGGGCCCGCAAACTATTCCGGGCAAGCAGCTTCTCTGCGCGGCCCGGGCCGGGTGAGGGTTCCCGTGCTTTCATCTCTTGCAGTGCTGGAAAGCCGCTGGGCAAGGAAGGAGCTGGCGCCGCGGTTCAGGTGGCGCAGAGACCTCGAACGGAGTCCAGCGGAGGCACGGAGCCGCAGACAGCGACTGGGCCAGCACGCCGCAAGTTAGCAGTTACACGTGGAGGGGAGGAAAGTTTGCGTGCCCAGGAGGTCGCAGCGGCGGAAGGGTGCACCGGCGGCGGCGGCGGCGAGGTGGGCCGCGCAGCTCCGTTCCGAGAGGGAGCGCCGCAGCCCCGCCACGGGACGCGCTCCCAGCCCCCCGCCCTGCGCACCCCACCCCCTTCCCTCTGCCGCGCACGCAGCGCCGCGGCCCCGGTCAGAAGCCGCCGGATCCGCCCGAGCGGAACAGGGCCCGACTCACACCCAGAACTCCGGGCCCCAGCCTTCCCTCCTAGTCTCAAAAAGGCATCCGGCTTTCTCCTCCCCTGAGAAGCGACGCGGGCGGGCGGGACGTCCCAAGAAGGCTGGGCGCCTGCGGCCACGTCCCGGCTCGGCCCCGGCGCGCGAGGAGCCGAGCCAGGGGACGGAGCTCGTTGAGGCTCCTTCCCGGGCGCGCGGGAGACGAGGGCGGCCGCTCAGGCTGCAGCCTCGGGAGCTGACGACTCCTCCGCCGAAGCTTCCCGCAGTGCTGGGCAACTTCATTCCGCTCTTGCTGCGGGGAGCGAGCTCGCTCACTCAGGTAAGGAAAGCTGCCTGTTCTTAGGATCCCGCTCGGGCGGGAGTGTTTATGAAAGTAGATTTGAAATGCATCCAAGAGTAAGTCGGGGCCAGCCTCGGCTCCTCCCGGAGGCGACTCTTTTGCTCCTGCAGACATTCCCGACACCGGGCGACTGGCGGGCAGAGCTCCTTGCGCGCCGCGCACGCCGCCGCCTCGCGCCTCCCAGCAGAGCGCGCGCTCGGAGTCCCGAAGCTGGCGGGACGTTCCTCGAGTGGCTCACCCTGTCCCTCCCCAGTCGGGGCAGGTGAGGACCACCGAGGGACTGCCGGAGAGCTGGCGGCAAACCCCGTGGTGCCTTGTGCCTGGAGTCGGCCCAGCGGGGAAGAGCACTTACTCCTTTTATCATACCCTGATAGCTGCTTCCCCGCAAAGGCGTCCCTAGGGCCCGAATTATTAGTGTAGGTTGGGGCGGAGTCGGAGTCGGGATAAGAAACTTCAGGCCTGGGGCGGGGAGGGGGGAGGCTGGGGAAGGAGAGACGCAGTTGGGGGGCGGAGGCCTAAGTACATAACGCGTTGACTTCGATGAAATCAGATCAGTCAGAGCAGTTCTCTGTGACTCGTCTTCACCCCCCCCCCCCACGTTTCTTTTGGCTGGACTCTACTTTCCTGGCTCATTCTGGACACTCCCTTTGTCCTTTCCCAGGAGTGCTGCGGCTTCGGGCGCCGCGTCCCAGCGGGCACGGACGCCAGACGCGTCGTTTCCTCTTTTCGGCAGGTCCACCCGGCCTGGCCCGATCATGTTGGACGGCCTAAAGATGGAAGAGAACTTCCAAAGCGCCATCGAGACCTCGGCCTCCTTCTCCTCGCTGCTGGGTGAGCGTTCAAGCCACGCGCCCCGGGCTCACCCTTTTTCTGCCAGGTCTTGGGCCCGGAAGGCGAGCTGACTGGGACTGGGTCAACCGTGGGGGAGCTAGCGCTTCCCTTCATGTCTCAGTTGAAGCCACTTTCTGTCAGTCTGTCCGTCCGTCCATGTGGGTTAGCTTCCCTACCCCAAACCAACAAGCTGCCCCTGCCCTCACGCGTCCGACACTGAATTCCCCAAAGCCTCGAGGGGCGGGCGGGCGGGCTTGTTTGCAGGCGTCTGAATGGCAAGTGATTAAAAATACCCAAGACTGGGTTTTTAATCACAGAGCTTGATCGACGTCTCATAAATGCCGCCCTCTTCTCGGCGGCCCAAGGGCGGGAATCCGAGATTCAAGGCCTGAAGCGCCCAAGTTCGAGGCAGTTTCTCGCCCCCACCAACTCCAGCCTCAATTTCAGCTTCGGGCACGGCCGATAGGCTTTTCCGGGCCGGTGGGCAGCGCAGCGCGGGGATTAGCCCCTGCGGCGGGGCCCTCGCCTCGTTTTTAATTAACTGGAGCCGGATCCCGGGTCGGGCGGGTTCCTCCCGCCCCCCAACCCCCTCTCAGTGACCACTGAAGAGCGATGAGCTAAGGCCCAAGCAGAGTGTCCACACGCGGGTCTCCCAGAGTTGGGGCGAAGGATTCGTGGTGCGAGTGTTTTTTTCCCCCTTGGTGCTTGCAAGTCTGGGGAACGGGTTTTTCATTTTTGTTTTTTCAGAGGGTGGGATTTTCGTTTTGTCATGTAAACTTCTTGCCTCTTCCCCTTACGCGGAACCGCTAGAGCGGGGTGAAGGCGGAGAACGAGACAGTCGGGATGGAGAAACCATATCCGGAGAAGACTCTCCCACCTCCCACCCCAGATGAAACGAAATAACGCGCACTGCGCTCCCTCCTTCAGCTCCCTTTCGGGAATGTCCCGACTCGGTCCAACCTCGGAAGGGCACAGGGCAGAGCAGGCGCTGCCTGGGCGGTCAGCGCGCACCAACTTCCACACAGACTGCGTAAAGCCCTATGTGTTCGGCCCGTCCCAAGTCCTCTCCCAACGCCCGGGTCGTGGCCAGGAACGCAGAGGCGGAGAAGAAAGGAAAGCGAATTTTAAAATTGAGAAATATCTTGCTGCTTTCCTTAGCCACATCCAGCCCGCACCCTAAAGCCTCCAGTCCCGCTCTAGAGCCTCACCTTCGATAAAGGAGAGGAGCATAGCCGAAAAATGGGGAGGAGATGGGACCCTTTGGGAAACCACGCTCAAGAGTTATTACCGGGGGAAAAGGTCTTCTTAAATAGCTGTGAAACTCGCCTATAGAGTTGGACAAGTCCTCTTTCATAAAAGAAAAGAAAGCAAAAGAAAAACACAAAAATAAAAACAACTACCCTCCCAACCAAACGTAACATACAAGAGTCCATGGAGTAAGACAGTGGATTCCCTGCCTACGATGAGCCTGTTTGGTACTGATTTTGTGCCCAGGCAGGGCTGCTGAGCACGCCTGATGCTGGGAATCCCGACCGGACTCTCTTTGGCTTCTCTGCGCCCTGCATTTTCCCTTATTATTTTTCTCTTAACTTGGCGTCTATTGATTATGAAAAAAAAAAAAAAAAAATGCAATTTGCATGTCCGCCAAGACATAGCAATTTGGACTTCGTTGGTTTGAACAACAGTGAGTTAGCCTGGGAAGAGACAGTATCCCCCCCCCCCTTTTTTTTTTGTATGCCCAGGACTTCTTAGGAGGAAAACAAAATTCAATTCACCTCTCAAAAAATATGCAAAATTGCGTTTTAACAAAGGAAACAAAAAAACCTTTTTGCTCACTCTCAGTTTTAAAAATCATCAGTCGAGAGAAGCATAGTGAGTGATTTAATGATTAATTGCGGTCTGATAAACCTAGGAGCGCAGATTTATTTGTAGTCTAATTTTACCGGAGGCGCGCACCATTTGCGCGCTTACTTGGATTTGTTTGGTAATTAAAGACCACTTATTGATTTCCGCTCTCTCCCCCCGCTAGGGCTTTTCCGCAAAATTCCCGTTTATTGGAAGCGTCACTTGTTTTGATTTTTCTCTGGTGTCCCTGTCTTCGCTTGGTCGATTGTCAGGGGACTCCCTGGGATAGGAGGGGGGCAGCGCAGCGCAGAGGGGTGGCGGTTCATGGGTGTAGAGACATCAAGAGCCGATCCGGGCCGGGTTTGGCGGGGATTCAGAGAAGGTCCGGCTCACCCGCGAACGTCTGTTACGGCTGCAGGCAGAGCGGTGAGCCCCAAATCTGTCTGCGAGGGCTGTCAGCGGGTCATCTCGGACAGGTTTCTGCTGCGGCTCAACGACAGCTTCTGGCATGAACAGTGCGTGCAGTGCGCCTCCTGCAAAGAGCCCCTCGAGACCACCTGCTTCTACAGGGACAAGAAGCTCTACTGCAAATATGACTATGAGAAGTAAGTGGCTGCGCCGCTCAAGCGTGATCCCACGCACGGGCATCAGCGTGCGCTGGTGGCTTTCTACCTCCTTACCCACATCCGCTTTTGGAAGGCGCAAGAGGCACCCACACCCTCCCAGAGAAGCAGAACGCCCTCTCACCCCCTTCTCTATACCCGAAGGGCCTCAGAAATCCGCGCCGGTGTGCGCAGCCACGGCCGGGGCCCTGCAGAAGCACCGGCTACTGCTGTACCCGCCTAGTTTTAAGCTCTCCCAGATCCCTTCCCCAACTCAGCCATTCTCAGAAGCTATTCCTCTGTGTGGTTCTGACCCCATCAAGCTTCCCCTGTTTCCTGGAGTGCCCTGTGAGTTGCCAGTGGCCCATGTTTCTTCACGCGTGTGCAGGGCAGTCTCCTGCGCGGGTTTGGCGCTCGTGTTTGTCGGCTGCGGTTCCGACAGAATCGGGTTGGAAATGGCGCCGCTGACCCTCCCAGTGAACTCCTTGGCTGCCAGGTTTATCCTCCCTGTGATGCAAAACGGGGCTGCCTTCCTCACCATGACCCTGGGATTTCCAAAGTCCTTGTGAGCAGGGCTTGTTAGCCTAGAAGTTGGGGCCTGACCCGAGGCCCCCTACTCCATTCTATGCCTCCTCCCAGTTCCTGTATGGCTATGATTTTGCCACGCTGCAAGTTCTGTTGCCTCCCCAGTCGACTTGGTGTGTGTTTTGAAGAGAACTGGGAAACAGGTAGGCAGCCATTTAAGAAAGTAGACTACAATATAGATACAGTATATCTACAATATAGATTTCTATGTTGTCTAAAGCCTGGTTGAGGCTAGGAAATTGGAATTGAAGGGATTTCCTAATTCTCAGGCAAGTATGGAGGAATTCAGGATGGAAGGAGAGGAAACTGCTTGTCCTTGTGAAAATGGCTAATTAATAGACCATTGGCTTCACAGGGCTTTGGAGGATATTGAAGGAGAGAACAGTAGCAGAAACGAAGGCCTTTCCTTTTGTATGCTAGGACTGGTATATGTGACTGTGTGCGAATACTGGTGCCAGGGAATTCTGCCTTTGCCACTGGTCAGTAAGTGGGATAGCACTGTGTAGGGTTAATCAAGGGAAGGTTAATGTGGAAAGCATTTCTTTATATGCATTAAAAACACAATAAAAGGGGTTATGCAGAGAAGTCTCCATCCAACAAAAAGCATTGAGAAAGAACAAAAGTATTTGCCATGTTGCCTGAGCTATGATGTTTACCAAAACTGATGAAACCATTAGACTTACTGAACACACACACACACAACACACACACACAAATTCTTTCTGCTACTCTGTGCTCTTTTTGTATCAAATAATTGACTATTTCCCCTATGTGGAAAGAGTACTGGGCATTTTTTGTTGTTGCTGCTGCTTTGAAAAGATAATAGCTTTACATTTTTCAGAATGAAAAAATAATATGTGCTCAATTTGGGATGAGTTGGCAATGTAGAAATATATAAAGAAGTGAAAACTCTGCATGATGCCTTTACAAAGTGGTAACTGTTGTAAACATTTTTAAAAGAAACCATGCCTGTCTCTGTTCTGAGTTGTTTGTTTATTGCCAGACTGTCGGAGTGAAAACTGCAATTTTTAGTAATTGACCAGATTTAGCCTACGCAACTGCAAGTATCACCCTTAGGTAAAGCTTCTGGTTGATTGCTCCTTTTTTCCCTTTTGCTTCTCATGTAAAGGTTTTGGGATTGTGTGGACCCAATCTTTGTCTTTCTGCTTTATCGATTACTGAAATGTCCACATCCTTCAGGCAGAACACTAGCAAATTCAAAAGTATTGGAGCTTAGGAAAGGATTTGGGTTGTGAATTTCTATTCTGATTGTTAAAAAAAAAAAAAATCAGAAAACACAGAAGGCTTAAGGGTCAACACAGCTGTCTGGCCAGTCAAATCTTCTTTAAGGAAGTCAGGCTGCGTCAAGAGGAGAAGAAACAGTTGTTGTAAAGTGCTTAACACAACAATATCCCTTCCATTTCAGCCTTCTAGATTCTGCAAGGTTTGGGCTTATTAGCTCAGGAGGGTCAGTTCTCCCCTCATGAAGCTATTTCTGCAAAGGGAAAATTACAGGGATCAACTTGCCAGCTGTTGGCCAGAGCCGAGAAGATTTTATAGAAGAGTCTGAGCTATATTGTTTAAAGAGGTGTTGCTGTTATGAAGGTTTAAATTTTATATATTTTTCTAAAACATGAATGTCCAGAAATGAGTTGATTGTACTCTAGCTCATTGCTCAGTACCAGCACTGAACTGTGCTCAGCCTCTCAATTTGCTTTTTAATTTCATTCCTTTTTTTTTTTTTCCTCCTTTATCCTCTACCCCAACTCATTCTTCCAACAGAGCAGGGTGGCTTTAATATATTTGAAGTTTTTATGGTATTAGTCTGCATGCTAATGGCTATAGGAGAGAAAGGCATGGCTTTTTATTTTTGTTGTTATTGTTTGTTTGTAATTAAGGTTAGGACAATCCTTTAGTCACACAAACTTTTACTGAGCACTGGGCCAGATGAGAAAGAGCTCAAAGCCTGCCTTCAGGAGGCTTATAGCCTAACACCTTCTCTGTTTCCCTAACCATCAAATACTTTTCAAATGTCTCCTCTACGTGGAGTGCAGGTCAAGTATTAAACAGAAGCTATCCAGGATAACCAGATCTTTATCACTAAGAGAGATACATCTCAATTTTAGACAATATAATGGAACAAGTACATGGAGCAAGATGTGAGCAAATAATATGATCATATACTTTTTTCTTTAACAAATTTTAGCCCTTTGTGCACTTCTGGTGATAGACAGTTTTGCATTTGAATTATTAGCTGCTTATTTGAGGAATTAGGCAGCCTATTAAAAAGTGACAATCCCAGTCTATGAACTATGGTAAAGCCTGTAAAAGTCGGAGTCTGTGTAAGGTGGAAACCTGTCAGAGAAAGAAAACTCAAATGTTTTCAATTAAAACCAGTGATAGAAAAGTGGTAAGACTGCACCCTGTCAAAGGCGGAAGATTTGGACAAGGCAGGCCCGTTGAATTCCGGCTCTAGTAGTTGGTATGGCTGTGCGATGTCCAACACTGACTTAGCCTAATTTTTAAAAAAGTTAAATGGACAGTGGCATCATGATCATTTGAAGACTTCTGGGATGTTTTATTTAATGTTTGTGTGACACACTATAGCAGCCTGGGGAATAACTTATCTTCTGACCACCCAGAACAAATAAGCACTTAAGGCTGGAATGTGGAAAACTGATTTATAAGCATCCAGTAATTAAGAACTGGAGGTGACCCTCATTGTGCATGATATGTTAATCAAGGAAAGTTAGCTACATAGTTAGGTGGATAATAACATTTACAAGATTGATGAAGCTGCCCTATGTCATGTACAACACATTAGGATGCTAAAGGTGTGGGTATTCTAAAAACTGGATTTGAACATTCCTGCAAGTTAGCAGACAACCAAAATATTTTTCCAACCCAGGGGACTTCTATTTATGTAACTGTTGTTCCCTATTTAACTTGAGTCCTGTGTGATCTGGTTACTTTGGAGTTTTCCCTGAATTTATTCCAAACAAATACCATCGTTGGACTTAAGTCCGAGACAGGAGAGGCTGCTGAATAACAGGAATGTGGTAATACAATAGATAATTGAGTCTTCTGGAAGGGATCCCACATTTAAATCAAGTTTATATTGTTTCTTTCATGTGCCTGGCGGCTCGGTGCATCAGGCAGGGCCCTCTCCCATCACATATGAAGTTCATCATCACCCTGCAGATTGCTCTGGACATCCTAGGAGCAGTGTGGAATAGTGCTGCTGTCATCAATGTTGTTCTCACAACATCCTAACTCCCCACGTGTCAACAAATCACAGGCCTTGGGAAACCTTTCTCAGAATGTTTTCTCCCCTTTTCCCTGTCTTTTGGAGCAGACCAAATTTCAGAAGAAAGGGATTGAAATGGGGAAAAAGGGGTATTCCACATAAACCTTTCTCTGTGTTTTGCGCTCGAACTGCTGGTCGGCAGCCCCACAATGAAGATGGCTGAGGTAATGATCTCTATTAGGGTTAGTAATTAACTAACTCTGCATTTTATCAAGGTAGTGTAGGATATGTGTGTGTGTATGTGTGTGTGTGTTTCGGGGAGGAGAGGTAGTTTGATTTTATTACAGGGATGTTACATGGAGAGCAAAATTGGGTACCTGCCCCTAAGAGGAGCTCTCAGATGAAATACAGAGGCAATTGTTAGATTATGCTTTGCTTTATGTTCTGGTGGCCTCGCTCCTGGCACAATAAAATTTAAGGAATATGAAAATCAAACACAGCTAGGTAACAAACGGATGTCTGCCTCAAATTGCAGGGGGCTTAACTCGGAATAAGCACAGTGCATGGGCTATGGCTATATTCCTGTGGAAAGACCTCTCTCTCTTTTAGAAGGTGATTGGAAACATTCCTTGCCCAGAAGTGTTTCCTGGTTGTACATGTATTGGTCCTGGGGTAGGGCTTTCTTGGAATCTTATAATTAAAATTTTGAAATAAAATTAGATAGTAGGCATAGATATTAATGATATTCTTAGAATTAGATAAGAACATTGCTTTTTAGAGTAAGCTTGTGGGATTCTTTCTATCTTTATATTTATGAAACACATTAAGAAAATTGTGCATCTAGTTTTACATACTGTGCAGTCCTGTCTTGGTTTTCAGTTTCATTTTTCTTATTTATAGCTATTGTATTAACCAAATTACTGCTATAATTTTGAGTCAGCTCTTCATTGTTGTATTTTAAATCTGGTTTTATTTATAATGAGTAAGTACGATCTCTCTAATGATAACAATTCTGTTTATTAAATTATCAGCTAATTATGTTTTATGGTGAAAGAAATTATTTGAATCATAGTGTTTAGAAGTGTGAAAATAGACAAGCATTTAAAATATTCATTAAACTGACAAATTTATTAATACTTTTCAGAGTGAATGCATATTATAATATGTCATT